ATGTCACATGAAAATCATTCAAACAGTACTGTAAGATGTTAAAATTTTAGTTATATTAAACCAAAACGCTTCCCTTGAGTTGATATCAAAATATATATGTGTGCAATTTCTTAACATTAATATCTTTGTAATTTCTTGTTATATAATGATGCAAATTGCAAATAAAAAATCCGTAAATCAAATACCTTGTGTCCCCCCAAAATATTGGTTCAAGGTTACAGAAGCTGACTTGCCATGGGATAAGCAGGATCATGTAGGCATACTTATAAATAGATATATGAACAGTAGTCAATTGCCTCCACTGTCGAAAATGTGTTTTCTTGTCCTTCTACAAACATGTAAAAATAAAAAATTAACAAAAAACGGATCGAAGGATTGGTCTTATTTTAAATAGACTGAAATAAATGGAGTTTTACGTCCTACTTTTCTGCACCATGTGGGCTAATGAAGACAGGCAACGCCATGTAGGGTTCAGGGAAATTTTGCCAGGACAGCAGCATTAGCCTGCTCTTTTTTGATTTCCAACTGCCAAGGGATCTTTATCGTGCAGTCTGTAGCACACGTTGCCTCGGTTTATTGTCCCATCCGAACAACTTGAAGCTTTTTTTCATGTCAGCCCCTCTTAGCTACATCACTGACAGGCGGAAACCGGGCTGAAAAATCCGAAGGTATCATCTCGACCTAGGCCGGAATGTGTAATAAATACCGTTATTATAACATGTTTATCATATACAATACATGTTCAATGAGTTAATAACACTGTATAATAAATACTGTTATTATAACACGTTTATCATATACAATACATGTTCAATGAGTTAATAACACTGTATAATAAATACTGTTATTATAACATGTTTATTATATACAATACATGTTCAATGAGCTAATAACACTGTATAATAAATACTGTTATTATAACATGTTTATCATATACAATACATGTTCAGTGAGTTAATAACACTGTGTAATAAATACCGTTATCATAACATGTTTATCATATACAATACATGTTCAATGAGCTAATAACACTATGTAATAAATACTGTTATTATAACATGTTTATAATATACAATACATGTTCAGTGAGTTAATAACACTGTATAATAAATACCGTTATTATAACATGTTTATCATATACAATACATGTTCAATGAGTTAATAACACTGTATAATAAATACTGTTATTATAACACGTTTATTATATACAATACATGTTCAATGAGTTAATAACACTGTATAATAAATACTGTTATTATAACACGTTTATCATATACAATACATGTTCAATGAGTTAATAACACTGTGTAATAAATACTGTTATTATAACATGTTTATCATATACAATACATGTTCAATGAGTTAATAACACTGTGTAATAACTACTGTTATTATAACACGTTTATTATATACAATACATGTTCAATGAGTTAATAACACTGTATAATAAATACTGTTATTATAACACGTTTATCATATACAATACATGTTCAATGAGTTAATAACACTGTGTAATAAATACTGTTATTATAACATGTTTATCATATACAATACATGTTCAATGAGTTAATAACACTGTGTAATAACTACTGTTATTATAACATGTTTATCATATACAATACATGTTTAGTGAGTTAATAACACTGTATAATAAATACTGTTATTATAACATGTTTATTATATACAATACATGTTCAATGAGCTAATAACACTGTATAATAAATACTGTTATTATAACATGTTTATCATATACAATACATGTTCAGTGAGTTAATAACACTGTGTAATAAATACCGTTATCATAACATGTTTATCATATACAATACATGTTCAATGAGCTAATAACACTATGTAATAAAAACTGTTATTATAACATGTTTATAATATACAATACATGTTCAGTGAGTTAATAACACTGTGTAATAAATACTGTTATTATAACATGTTTATCATATACAATACATGTTCAATGAGTTAATAACACTGTGTAATAAATACTGTTATTATAACATGTTTATCATATACAATACATGTTCAGTGAGTTAATAACACTGTTTAATAAATACTGTTATTATAACATGTTTATCATATACAATACATGTTCAATGAGTTAATAACACTGTGTAATAAATACCGTTATTATAACATGTTTATCATATACAATACATGTTCAATGAGTTAATAATACTGTGTAATAAATACTGTTATTATAACGTGTTTATCATATACAATACATGTTCAATGAGTTAATAACACTGTGTAATAAATACTGTTATTATAACATGTTTATCATATACAATACATGTTCAATGAGTTGATAATACTGTGTAATAAATACTGTTATTATAACATTTTCGGTGAGTTAATAACTGAAAAAAATAGCGACTTGACTACAATTTAAAAAAAGGTTCAAGGGACGTAAGATGAGAAATTTTCATGCGGAAGGATAATTCTACAAAATAGTCGTTTTCGTGTGCACTGACAGTCGAGTGGATGTTGATAAAATGTAGTGATATGCTTTCACTTCGTTCTAGTCCAAGATTTTCATGATATATTGAATTTTTGTCCAGAAACTAAGCATTGGCCAGTATTTTATGTGACATATTGGAAAGTTTTCAACGAGACTTCTGGAAAAAGTTATAAAAGGTTGAATTTCGAGATTTAACATGGAAACAGATGGTAAATGGATTACTGAAGTCGGTCTTATTTAATAGTAAAAATAAAGGGAGAGAACTGATCATGCATGATATTTATAAGAAATGCTCGGAAAGTTATTTCATGAATCGCATATACTATACCACTCGTTCAAAATCCTAAGACAGTGTATTGTGTCTAGAGTAGACTGATGTAATTGTGGTAGAATAAGTAAAACAAATGATTTGTAATTATTTGATTTAGTTTTATTGAACTAGAGACCTGATTAACAAAAACTTAAAGGAGCAGTATGCAATTTTTCATTATCAAATAGTTCATAAATTATAGCTGAAAATATTTCTAAAATACTATGCTACAGTATTTACATCTATGTATCTACTTGATCAAACTGAATTTGTTTTAAAAGGGTTAATTAAAAACGGAGAGTACTAATTGTTAATTAAGCAGTTTGGTCTATTTGTAATGGCTGGATATTTTTTGCTGAAACCTTTGGAAGACATATTACACATATTTCTCTACAATTAACAAAACAGAATGACCCTTACAATTAGGCGTTTACATTACTTAAATCTACACAGTAGTTTTTTAACCCCTCCTAAAAAGCACGAGAACTTGGAAAAAGGTTACAAAATTAACAACAGGATTTATTTCGCTAAAACTTCCAGATAAGATCAGACACATATTTCTCTAGATTGTAGAAAATTAACAAAAAGGATTTATTTAGCTAAATTGTAGAGTATAGTTTTCATAAATATGATAAAAAACAAAATTCCACCAATAACCAAAAACAAAACAGAATGACTCTTTAAATTAGCATATTCTTGGTAGAAACAGGCCCCAATTTGAAAGCAAAGTGATAAACAAATTACTTGATTCATGTAAATCAAACAAGGATAGCGACTTGACTAATACTAAAAGTACCTTCAATCGGAATCACGCCTGGATAATGAATGTAAATCTGAATCTAAATCTAAATCTACCACAAACTTCAATCGGAATCAAGTCTGGATAATGATTGTAAATCTGAATCTGAATCTAAATCTAAACCTAAATCTACAACAACCTTCAATCGGAATCAAGTCTGGATAATGAATGTTAATCTGAATCTAAATCTAAATCTAAATCTACAACAACCTTCAATTAGAATCAAGTCTGGATAATGATCGTAAATCTGAATCTGAATCTAAATCTAAATCTAAATCTAAATCTACAACAACCTTCAATCGGAATCAAGCCTGGATAATGAATCTGAATCTGAATCTAAATATGGATTTACATCTGAATCTGAATCTGAATCTAAATCTAAATCTAAATCTAAATTTAAAATCTGAATCTGAATCTGAATCTAACTTTAAAATCTGAATCTGAATCTGAATCTAAATCTAAATCTAAATCTGAATCTTCTGAATCTGAATCGAAATCTGAATGTAAAAGATTTAGATTTAAATCCGAATCTAAAAGAACCTTCAATCGGAATCAAGCCTGGATAATGAATCTAAATTTGAATCTGAATCTGAATCTGAATCTGAATCTGAATCTAAATCTGAATCTAAATCTGAATCTAAATTTAAATCTGAATCTGAATCTAAATCTAAATTTGAATTTGAATTTGAATCTAAATTTGAATCTGAACCTAAACCTGCGTGTACCTCATTTAAATATACACAGTTTTTATAAACCCTATAATCATTCACATAATCATAATCTATCTTATAAATATCCAAATCATCATCATCATTTTCATCACAAATAGACTCTAACATGACAGGCAGTGAAAATTGCTCAGAATCTTCATCTTTAAACCGTAGAAAATTAGTCACGATGGAAACATCAAGGATTTCAGAAATTCGGTCATGAATTGCTAGACCTGTATTTTGTCTGATAACTCTTCTACAAATTTCTTTAAGGCTCAGATTGTTGGCGAAAAGATAGAATTTTTCTCTTGGTTTTTCTTTTAAATTTTCTGGCAATAATGCTTCATAATCCTCCTCGTCTTCAAAATGTAATATTTGTGTAATTTGTACAAATGAGCCACCACTTAAATACAAGATTTGCCTTAATTCATGCCTAGATTCTGAAGAAAATTTCTCTAGAGATAACTGACCATAGGAGATTTCTCCAACATCTGAGGTTAAAAGTTGCAGGTTGACATTTTCAAAAACAAGAAATTTGATCAAATTGACGGTTTGATCAATTTGCCATGATGGTTGTGTGAATTTTAGTAAATTTTGAATAATAGTGTTACCATTAAGACATGGCTGATTAAGAGATTGTCTACAACCATGAGACAGAAGTAAATTAAAACATGTTAAATCATAAACACTGTTTGTTAAATCTATGTATTGTAGAGCAGATCGACCATGGCTGTCGACAATATTCACATCAGCTCCACATATTATAAGTGTTTCTAACAATTTTCTATCTTTTTTCATACAAGCCAACATTAAAACTGTTTTCCCACATTTATCCTTAACATTGACGTCTGCATCAAGAATGAGTAAAGTCTCAATACAAGCATTATATCTGGGATAGTATTCACGGGCACACAACTCTTCCACAACTGAATCGTCTTTCATCATATCTAATTTTCCTTTTATCAAAATAAATCCAATAACACATAGGTGAAGTGCTGTATGGCCCTGTTGGTTTTGTTTATTCACGTCACAGGGCAAAGTAGCTAAAAAATTAATAAAGGGTGAATTATTTAAAAGTGAGGCCACCATTAATGGTGAATTGCCACTATTATTTATAAGATTAAAATCTAATCCCGAATATGTCAAAAAACTAAAATCTTTATATAAATAATCCATATAAAACTTAGCCAACAGATGTACTATATTTTCACCTGATGATGTTAAGGAATGGATATAGAGACCATTTTGAATAAAAAACCATAGAGATTGTAAATCATTTTCACTCAAAATAAATTTAACTAACTGAAGTCGGTTATCAACATGACTAGTTAAAACATCAACATTATGTTCGTTTAAAACCCGAACCGATTCCACATTCTGACATTTAGCTATTTTATGAAGAGTTTGTAAACCAGTCTTAGTGGAGAACGGTGAATATCCCTCTTGGTTTTTCATATTGATATCAAAGTTTCCTTCTTTAATTAAGCAGCATATAATTTCTATCTTACCCTCCTCTACAGCTACATGTAATGGTATATAATTCAAATTGTCCTGAGTAATGTCGGTGCAACTGATTAAACACCTTACAATTTCTATATTGTTATTCACAACTGCTAAATGTAACGGTGTATGACCTCTTTTGTTTTTTATATTGTCACCACAGTTCTTCTGCCTGATTAAGCACTTCACAGTTTCTATATTATTATGCGATACTGCAACATGTAATGGCGTATCACCTCTTTTGTTTTGAATATTGTTACCACAGTCAGCCCCGCGGACTAAACACTTTACAATTTCTACATTATTATGCAACACAGCTATGTGTAAGGGTGTATAACCCAACCTGTTTTGTAAATTCACACCACAATCATTTTGGTTCAATATACACCTTACAATTTCAGTATAATTGTACAATACAGCTATATGTAAGGGTGTGCAACCCAACTTGTTTTGTATATTAGCACCACAGTTGTCCTTGTCTAATGTATTCATGTACTTGACACAATCTGTATTATTGTACAATACTGCTGTATGTAAAGGTGTATTACCTCTAATGTTCTGCAAATGGATTTTACAGTCCTTTCGGTTTGTTATACACACTACAATTTCGATTTTACTCATCTGTACTGCTAAATGTAAAGGTGTATCACCGCCACTATCCTTTTTATTGACATCACAGATCCCCTGTTCAAGTATACACATTACAATTGCTAGATTACTTTTCTGAACAGCTTTATGTAAGGGTGTTAAACCGTCAATGTCCTGTACATTGACATCACAGTTACCCGTTCGTAACAAACTATTTACAGTCAATAGATCATTGTTGTTTACGGCATCAAATAAAGACATTTTCAAATCAGTCTGTAATAAATAAAAAATAAAGTATATGATAACTTTGTTTAAGTCGCTATTAAACTGAATGTGTCCACGCAGCATCTCCATGTGGAGTGTTCACAAAATTCTACATTTTCCCATGTGGTTCCGGTAGAGGACTAATTGCTCTGTCCAACGATACCAGCCAATCGCTTCTTCGACTTCTCTGGACTTATCGCCGGACTCGGAAACATAACGTCAAAACGCTCGATAAGAGCGTGCTGATAAATCGAAACCCAAAGTAAAATTGTAAAAAAACGCCCCTATACTCTTTAGCCATTGGTTCGTAATACACGAAACAACAATAATATTCGGGCTACCTCAATAAATGGTGGAGGTGATAGGCCACTTTTCAACTTTGGTGGGCTCGTAACCTTGACCATCGATGACCTTGAAAGTCATATCTATACAGATCAGACAAGAATATCCTATGGAAAATTAACCGAGAAGACCGATGGAAAGTTGGCGCTGATGATACTTCCGGTCTCGGAACGTCAAACATTGCATTCGTTTTGGAAATTTCCGCGAAACTCGGAATTGCCTAATGAAGAATGGTCTGCCAGGTCCACCAGGAGGAACTCAAACCAAGTCAGGCCCGGATCAAGCCGTGAATGGGTAATAAAATGTTATCTACAGGTCGGAAATTCTTGTGGTTTCACGATTTTGTTGTTTTTCTGCACTTTCAAAGTTGGTCGTATTTGTTTTCCAAATTAGTCGACTAAATCATTACACCAATTACTAGTGTTATTATAACAGCAGTTACAAGTGCTATCATTACACCAGTTACTAGTGCTATCATCAACACTAGTTACTAAGGCTATCATTACACCAGTTACTAGTGCTATCATTACACCAGTTACTAGTGATATCATTACATCAGTTACTAGTGCTATCATCAACACTAGTTACTAATGCTATCATCAACACTAGTTACTAGTGCTATCATTACACCAATTACTAGTACTATCATCAACACTAGTTACTAGTGCTATCATTACACCAGTTACTAGTACTATCATCAACACATGTTACTAGTGCTATCATTAACACCAGTTACTAGTGCTATCATTACATCAGTTACTAATGCTATCATTACATCAGTTACTAGTGCTATCATCAACATCAGTTACTGGTGCTATCATTAACACCAGTTACTAGTACTATCATTACACCAGTTACTAGTGCTATCATTACACCAGTTTCTAGTGCTATCATTACATCAGTTACTAGTGCTATCATTACATCAGTTACTAGTATTATCATCAACACTAGTTACTAGTGCTATCATCAACATCAGTTACTAGTGCTATCATTAACATCAGTTACTAGTACTATCATTACACCAGTTACTAGTGCTATCATTACATCAGTTATTAGTACTATCATTACACCAGTTACTAGTGCTATCATTAACACTAGTTACTAGTACCATCATCAACACTAGTTACTAGTACTATCATCAACATCAGTTACTAGTGCTATCATCAACACTAGTTACTAGTACTATCATCAACACCAGTTACTAGTGCTATCATCAACATCAGTTACTAGTGCTATCATTACACCAGTTACTAGTACTATCATCAACATCAGTTACTAGTGCTATCATTACACCAGTTACTAGTACTATCATTACACCAGTTACTAGTGCTATCATTACATCAGTTACTAGTACTATCATCAACACCAGTTATTAGTGCTATCATCAACATCAGTTACTAGTACTATCATAACACCAGTTACTAGTGCTATCATCAACACCAGTTACTAGTGCTATCATTACACCAGTTACTAGTACTATCATCAACACCTGTTACTAGTATTATCATCAACACTAGTTACTAGTGCTATCATCAACACTAGTTACTAGTGCTATCATTACACCAGTTACTAGTGATATCATCAACACTAGTTACTAGTGCTATCATTACACCAGTTACTAGTGATATCATTACATCAGTTACTAGTGATATCATTACATCAGTTACTAGTGCTATCATCAACACTAGTTACTAGTGCTATCATCAACATCAGATACTAGTGCTATCATTACACCAGTTACTAGTGATATCATCAACACTAGTTACTAGTGCTATCATTACACCAGTTACTAGGGCTATCATTACACCAGTTACTAGTGATATCATTACATCAGTTACTAGTGCTATCATCAACACTAGTTACTAGTGCTATCATTACAGCAGTTACTAGTACTATCATTACATCAGTTACTAGTGCTATCATCAACACTAGTTACTAGTGCTATCATCAACACTAGTTACTAGTACTATAATCAACATCAGTTACTAGTGCTATCATTAACACCAGTTACTAGTGCTATCATTACACCAGTTACTAGTACTATCATCAACACTAGTTACTAGTGCTATCATTACACCAGTTACTAGTACTATCATCAACACATGTTACTAGTGCTATCATCAACACCAGTTACTAGTACTATCATTACACCAGTTACTAGTGCTATCATCAACACCAGTTACTAGTGATATCATTACATCAGTTACTAGTGCTATCATCAACACTAGTTACTAGTGCTATCATCAACACTAGTTACTAGTGCTATCATTACATCAGTTACTAGTGCTATCATCAACACCAGTTACTAGTGCTATCATCAACATCAGTTACTAGTGCTATCATTACATCAGTTACTAGTGCTATCATCAACACCAGTTACTAGTGCTATCATTACATCAGTTACTAGTGCTATCATCAACATCAGTTACTGGTGCTATCATCAACACTAGTTACTAGTACTATCATCAACATCAGTTGCTAGTGCTATCATTAACACCAGTTACTAGTACTATCATTACACCAGTTACTAGTGCTATCATTACATCAGTTACTAGTGCTATCATTACATCAGTTACTAGTGCTATCATCAACACCAGTTACTAGTGCTATCATCAACATCAGTTACTAGTGCTATCATTAACATCAGTTACTAGTACTATCATTACACCAGTTACTAGTACTATCATCAACACTAGTTAATAGTGCTATCATTACATCAGTTACTAGTGCTATCATTACATCAGTTACTAGTGCTATCATTACATCAGTTACTAGTATTATCATCAACACTAGTTACTAGTGCTATCATCAACATCAGTTACTAGTGCTATCATTAAC